TTAGCAGAGGCTTTGCCGAGTGCTAACCAGCCAAATTCTTACACAAGGGTTGAGAGACCCTGTCCACTTAACAGACCAATGTTTGATTCTTTTTTCTCCCTTACTTAAATGTACAGAAATAACAAAAGAAATTGAAAGTTGCTGTGCACTGTATACATGGCTTCACCATCAAATGATCATCAAAATGTATTATGTCAGCAATCAGTGCCCTGGTTACGCTACATGAAATGGTGACGACATAGCTCGTGTGAGCTGTATTTCCCGTGGAAAAGACAGATTTATCATTTCATGTGTAAACATTGTCTTTCCCGAGAAAGTATGGAAGAAAGTAACTGTATATTAGGTCAAGTTAAATCGGCAATTTAAATTTTCGAAAAATCTTTTCAATAAAATATTGGTGTTTCTGTATCATGCTACCTTTTCCTTGTTTATTTCCACATTCTATATATTGATTTTCAGGGACATCTTATCCTGAGATCAAACACAGTCATGACATTTGGCACGTAGCCAAAAACTTGGGCAAAAGGATAACAAAGGTAAACACTGATAGAGAAAATGTAGGATTCTGATCAAAGGATATGATACTCTGATATAACAGATAATGGCACCATTTTATGAGTATCTTGTATTTAATCATTTTCATGATGAATAGTTTTGACATATACAGTGTTTTTTATTTTAATTTATCACATATATGTGAGGGTGTGTGTGTTTTGGGGGTGGGGTGGGGTGTTTTCATGATACATATGTATAGACAGGAGGATATGAAAGAGTTGAAGTCAACTTGATCATTTTTTTTTAGGCTGGACAGAAAAAAGGATGCAAAGATTTACTGAGATGGGCCAAACATATTGTCAATCATTTTTGGTATGCTTGTAGAGAAGCCACAGGTTACATGAGGTTCATCGTAAGTATAATGAGTTCTAGTGTGTGATTTGCATTTAGATGATTGAATATAGTAACTTATCTTATTACAGAAATTAAGTGAATTAATAAGCAAGGAACAAATGTTTTCAGAATATTTGGGGACAAGTGCGCCACCATGCTTGCAATGAACATGAGTGGATCCTTTCAGAAGGTGAAGGGCCTGCGGAGTGCTCACATGGAGACCTAGAGAAAGATGCAAACAGACCAGACTGGCTTCCAAAGGAGTCTCTCGCAGCTAAAGCTATTAATGAAATAGTGTTAGACAAAAGACTGAGAAACAGTTATGGATACATTGAAAACTTCAGGTACGAAAGATTCAACCAGTCTTAACTCTAGCCCACTTGAACTAAACAAGGGGGCTGGTACAAGTTTGAAATAAGCCTGTTTCAGGTATGGAAAATATCCGAGGGAGTAATCAATTTAATGTTTGATTGAGTACCATTCAAAAATTGCACAGGTTTGTAGCAAATGTTAACCTTACAAGTAGCATTGGCATGCCTTACATTTAATGGTTGGTGCTTGTTATTTGAAGTGTTATATATTTCTTATCAAAACCAGAATGTCAGTATGCATTTGTTATTTCTAGAGGAATTTATGCTTTGATTTATTTGAAAAATTGTGGTAGATTAGTGGAATGATTCTGATCTTCAGAACAGACGGACTGAATAATAAAGGTTTTAGCTCACATCATAATATGGTTATAGAAGTTACGAAGTTACAATTTTATATACAATAAGACACTGTCTAGTTAACTGTGGAAGCCTTGATAATTCATGACCATACTAAAAGTGTATACAAGATCCTGTTTTCATATTTATCTACAGAATGACAGCAGAGATTGAAGTATTCAACAATCTTATTTTGATGTATTGTGCAAAGCGTTTTGAATATAGTCCTCCAGCATACAGAACAAGAAACCAGCTGGCTGCCTTGGACAATAATTGTCATATAGATAGGCCATTACTGATGAAGCCTTGGACAATAATTGTCATATAGATAGGCCATTACTGATGAACAAGAAAGGAGAAGTTGTGTAAGTCTTTATCTAAAATTTAGCCATTCATTTTCCAATTTATATACCGGTAAGATGTAAATTAGGGTCCAGTATCAGATACAAGAGCCCTGTAGGTGATCACTCTTTGTTTTCTTGTCTATCAGATCATTTTCTAGTTAAATTTTTATATACATAAAAAAATAATAAGTTATCATTAAAAGTTTAGGGCACAAGGTCATGACCATTTGATCGAAAGATCAATTGAAAATTTTGTCTCTATATCAAATATTCAGATTGAGGAGGTCCATTTCATATTTTGTACCTTTTTAACTGACTGTCAACCTTAGCTATATGAGCTGTTGAATTATTGATAATTAGAGATATTGTAGAGTCAACATCAGGTCATTGTTCTCAAACTTTTATTAGGACTTATGTGACACACCCAGTTATAAACAACATTTTTTTATAGGTATCACAGAACTTTCAATAAGAGAAGTGGAAGGTGGTCTGTATACCCATGCAAGGTAAACAAAAACTATCAGCACGTGAGGGACCTTCTGAGAAGGATGCTTTCTGCACGCTTAGAAGACAAGATGGGAATGCACCGTCCAAAGGCTATGGCAGCAGATGACCCTCGAAGATTGTCTGCACATCTTGCTCCAGTAAGTCCAAAGGCAACAAAGGAGCTTGTGTCTCAACAAATGACACGGAAAAAAGAGACTGAAAAGTGAAAATTATCTTTCTGAAATTTTGTGTTATTGATCAGTGTAACAAGGACTTGTGCCCCCCGAAGTAATCTTTACAAAATACCCCCTTTCAAGAGAGTTATGATGGGTGGTGGTGGGGGGGGGGGGGGGGGGTGCAAGGGGTATGAATCAGGCATCCTGGTGATGGCCCTTCACAATCATTTTTGGTATGTGTATGTGTAGGATCAGTTGTATAATGTTGGTTTTGTATTTGTGGTGATTGCAGCATAATGTGGGAATGTTTATGTGTGGGGTAAAGCCTCATGTTGTATGATGTTGGAGTGTGTGCGTGTTCTGGGGCATGTATTATAATTTTGGGAGTGTGTGTGTGTGTAGAGCCTGTCAGTTACTATGTGTAATGCACGTTTGATACTGTATCTTATGAAAATTAACGGTGTACGAAAGTAAGTGATCATAAATGGTCTCTTGAAATATGTACAATATTGGGGTTGTGAATGAAAATAAAGTATGCTTTACCAAATTGTATATGCCTGGAGATGATTAATAAATTTTGCAAGTTACCCTTTCCAGTTTGAAATATTTCTTTGAATCACTCTTACCAGGATATTGTGTTTTGGCTTGGAAACTGTACCATGGAAACTTCTACAATGATTGTTTGGTCATTATATGCAGTTCTCTATAAGTTGACATATTCTGGTCTAGAGCAGAGCTAGAAAGCTAAAAAAATCATCAGATATATTTCTCTTGAAGAAACACTATAAAATCACTGAAGCATTTGAATTTTATGTTACAATAATCATATAATGGCACCACAAGTATTTTTTACTTTTGACTGTTATACCATGCTAGTAACATGAAATCGACAGGGAAGTCTGCTGTTACATCAAAACACTACCAGTACTTATTCACTATATGCATGTCACAGTCCATAGAGCCATTTTGATTTGGAGCATGACAGATGCCGGGGCTAGAGGTCAAAGTAACATCCTCATCCTCTTGAGTCGACAAGTTTGAGACTCGTTGGGCAGGTGCCATGTGCTCATCATATGGTGATTTTTCTCCACCTTTTCTACGCCATCCAAATATGGCATATCCTGAAATGACCTGGGTGTTATAGGACACGAAAACATTTATTAAAATTGTAATAAGTGAAAAAAGTAATAACAGAAGAAAAAATCAGGAAGTCCATTCTTTAATATACTAGGTATCGTATGTCTCGTTGCATATTACAGTAATTCCACTTCAGCTAACACCATCAGTCACATCAACACACATTGTACAGTATCTAGCACCATCAGTCACACCATCACATATTACACGGTAGCTAGCACCATCGGCCACACATTACACAGTAGCTAGCACCATCAGTCACACCAACACATTACACGGTAGCTAGCACCATCAGTCACACCAACACTCATTTTACAATATGTAGCACCATCAGTCACACATTACATGGTAGCTTGCACCATCAGTCACACCAACACATTACACGGTAGCTAGCACCATCAGTCACACCAACACATTGTCACACTAACACACATTACATAGCTAGCACCATCAGTCACACCAACACATAACACAGTAGCTCGCACCATCAGTCACACCAACACACATCACACATACATAGCTCACACACACACACATTACACATTAGCTAGCACCATCAGTCACACCAACACATTACACATTACATGGTAGCTAGCACCATCAGTCACACCAACACATTACACAATATGTAGCACCATCAGTCACACATTACATGGTAGCTTGCACCACACAACACATTACACGGTAGTAGCACCATCAGTCACACCAACACATTACACGGTAGCTAGCACCATCAGTCACACCAACACATCATTTACATAGCTTGCACCATCAGTCACACCAACACATACACGGTAGCACACATCAGTCACACAACACTCATTTTACAAGCTTGCACCATCAGTCACACCAACACATTACACGGTAGCTAGCACCATCAGTCACACCAACACATTGTACACAGTAGGTTGTACCACCAGTCACACCAACACACATTACATAGCTAGCACCATCAGTCACACCAACACATTACATGGTAGCTAGCACCATCAGTCACACCAACACTCATTTTACGATATGTAACACCATCAGTCACACATTACATGGTAGCTTGCACCATCAGTCACATCAACACATTACACGGTAGCTAGCACCATCAGTCACACCAACACATTGTACACAGTAGGTTGTACCAACAGTCACACCAACACACATTACATAGCTTGCATCACCAGTCACATCACCACACATTACACAATATCTAGCACCATCAGTTACACCATCACACATTATCTAGCACCATAAGTCAAAACAAACATTTATCAGGCAAGTCGTCCAGGGACAAATCCTTTGTACTGGCCAAAGGGATCCGGATATCCGTCACGGATTCTCCAAACACAGCAGCCTGGAATCACCCTGCGATTCCCAGTGCCAAGCCACCCATGCTGCCAAAGAATAAACTGTCTATATCCTTGGTGCCTATTTGCCTTCATCAAGTCAACTTCTTCATTTAGGACAAGGACATCATTTCTGTACAACCTTGCTAGAGCAAGCACTGCCTCATCCAAAACCAGTACATTGAAATCCTGAAGTATTAAGAAGGACAATTTAGGTATGTGAGCCTTCACAAATTGAATTACCTTTGTATATTCAAAGCCCCACATGCTCCAATAGCACATAAACACTGATTTGAAAAACAAATTGATACAGATATTTTCTAAAACCATGGCATTATATATACATCTATTCTAATATATTTGTATTCTATTTTCAAACATATACGTTTTTTAGAAACACATGTACTTAGAAATTTCCTGGTGTGAGGGTCATGAATGTTAACATACGCACACACCCTTATATATATATATATATACAAGAATGTATATATTCATCACATAATTATCTTGATATTAGACAAATATGTTCATGATATATTTTTGCTATTTGTAACTAATGTACTGTAACTTAATGTGATGTGCATTTTTGATAGAGAAATGAAGTCTCTATTATGACGTAACAATGGAAATGGCCAGTAACAATGGAAATGGCCAGTGTTATACCAATACAGGTTGAGTTCAATTTTGACATGTATGTAAATGTATGTCTTCTGCAATATATTTGCTCAAGTAATTATACTAAAAGTAATTTGATCATGTGATAATAAAGATCTTACATTTATTTCATGTGTGATTTATGAAGCTAGTCACATTTTTTTTCAATTCAGCTCACTAGGGAAAATTAGTAGACAAGTTTCTGAAATAAACATATCAAATGGCAACTCATGTAAGATCCTGTATGAACATCTGTGATAAATCAGATCTAATTGCAGACTGTTGGAAGCCACATATAAATACATACTGGGAGGATCGATACACATCTTTCCCTGGATTTGCCACAGCAAACTCTCTCTGCTTCTGTTGGCATCTCCCTACACCTGGTGCAAGTGCACCACTTTGGTGGAGCTGAGCCCTCTGTTGGATGGTGTCCTACAGGCTGAGGGGCCATAGGCTCTATGATGTCAAACATCAATCCAGGGTGGAATGTTACGGCTTTAGTCAAAAGCTCCTTGGCATTCTCCTCAGACAGCTGTTGTACTATAGTCTATTAAAAGATATAAAAGTAATGAAAGAGTTTTTTTTAAAAGACATTAAAAGTGAAGTTCATATTTGATAATGAAAATACAAACATTTTTCAAAATACACAATATTAATCTATATATGTAAAACTTAATCATTATAATATATATATACACATACCTTTATAATAACTATACAGCTACACAACTTATACATTATTTGAATTAAGGACCAAAACATTTACATCAATTGCCAAATGCAAGGTATGTAGACATACATACTTTCATTCTTTCCTGCCTAGACTGAACAGTTTCTATGGCTTCCTGAGACTGTCTTTTTTGTCTTCCTCGGCCTCGACCTCTCCCTTTGCCTGTGTTGCTCCCTCGTCCTCGCTTGGGGCGATGTGGACTCCCACTAGATGAGGATTCTTCCTGAATTTCTGGAGGTGTTCTTTTACGCGTCATTCCTTTTCCTCGTCCTTTCCCTCTACCCTTTCCTCTACCTACATTTTCTATAGGTACATGTAGGAATTATTCAAGTTTATATACCAATTTACAGAACTGAAATATCTTAATAATTGCAAAATCTGTTTCATTTTTCCTGACACTTGGTGTCTGTGATATGTACAGCATAGTGTATGTAAAACGTTAAAATCTCAGTCTGAGAGGGGTTTTTCAATTCTTCATAACTTCTGTTTTATTTGACCTAGGCTGATTCTGTTTACGCCAAAATGTTTGAAATAGCACACAGTTGATGAAAATGGTTTTTTTTAAATTTAAGAAAAAAAAGTGTCCTATATTAGGACTAAGACCACAATTAAATGAAGTCCCTAAAAATGTATGTATATTAGGGAAAAAAATAATATGCCTCTTTGAATTGGATGTTTGCCTATAAATTTTGTAGATGTGTTATAGATATAAATAATGTGCTATGTTTTTGTTTTTCTCCGAGACCTTGTGTTTTTAGCGTTATACAGTGCAATTTGTATTTTATTTTGAATTTTTTAATATTTTGAAAATATCTGTTTTTAACTGATTAATAATTTTATGGATTTTATCCTGTAATATACAGGTATTTTTTATTATACATATATTTATACATATACACCTTGTAAGACGCATTTAATATTTTGATATTTAGATTATGATTGTCATATGTAACATTTTGTTGTATGTGTTGTTTTCATTATGTTTGTACATTATACATTGTATGACACAATTAACATGGTGTTGTTTTTTGTTGATATATGTACAATGTAAATGCATGTATACTGTTTATGTAGTTAATATGGCATACATTCTGTATAGAATATATTTCGTGATTCATACATATATTACCATGTTGGATTGTTTTAGTGAAATTTTCTACATTGTAAATAAACATATTTCTAACTTAATTTCTACTTTCTCTGTTATATATTTACTGTGATTGTATTTTCTCATGGATACTGTATTTGTAGATCTGGAAGGGAAAAAGGATACAAATCCCAAAAGTTATTTTTCATTGATCTACATTACATTTACACCTTGTTATTTACTTTATCGTCCTTTGGTTTTTTCTTTGCTTTTCCTCCAGCCTCCAGCATTTCTGTCAAGAGTTGGTGGTGTACGCACCTCTTCAGCCATTTGTCTTGATTTACGAGACATCAGAGTTCCTTGGTTTAGAAACTTGTCGAGGGTGGTCATGGTGCTGGTTTTAGTGCCACTCTTAAGTGTCTTTTTGTGAGTCTTGTTTCTTTTTCTTAAATGACAGATGGTGTCTTTAACAAGACGTTCTTTTTGTTCAGCAACTAAAGTGATGGGTTCAGTTTCTGTTTTATGGTCAGTGATCATGGCATTCTCATCACCCGAATTTTCATCTGAACTTGAAGGGTCATGTTCTGATTAAGTCACTTTGTTTAGGGATACTGACTGTTCTGGCCACCCTTGTTTACATTCTGAAACTAGAAATCTACAGGAACAGTCATTCTGGGTTTGCTCCATATACCAGTCTACAGTCATTGAGATAATGATTAAATTTATTATTTACAAAATAAGAACAAAAACATGAACTAATATCACATGATTTATCTGGTATAAAATACATGTAATAAAAAGTAACATCAAATGTGTTTACAAACAAAAAGCCAAAATTACCATATGGTTTCTAATTGCTCATCTGCAATGCAGTGTAAAAAGGAAAAGCTGAAACAGTATATATATATATATTGGCTCAAATTTGATAGCATCCCAGTATGCCACAGACAAAACATCATGGGTCTTCAGATTTTCAAAATGTTACTTGGAAATTTACACAATTTGACCTAAATCATCTAAAAAGCAATTGAAGGTCATTTATTTGTGGTAACAAACATGAAATGACTCCATTACAGCTTGCTATGTGCAAAAAGACTTGAATCGAGTATCTTTGTGTTATTGAAGATGAATAAAGATCTCAAAACTGACACAGACAGATGGATGCCACAACACAATATAGATTCATTTGTCCTTCAGGAATCAGCCAAACTAAGTCACAAAATTAATGTAACTAGAATACTGAAGCAAGAACTGTTCATGAACACTTCATAATTCTGTTGTTTTTTTAAGTCAATGTTCATTCTTTATCAAAAACGTCTTCGGAACATCCCACTATATCATATCACAAATCCGGGTTATGAAACAGGCCAAGATAAGATTTACTTCAGTCTACTTTTCTGATGCTTTCCGAACTGAGACGTTGGGGGATGTGGTACTGGAGCAATGGTCTTCGCAACCCGTCTGGTGTCATTTGGTGCCATAGTTGGTCCTCCCTTCATCCTAACTCGATCTGCCAAACGATGCTCCACTACAGATTCTTAAAGTCCTTCGACATGAGTGTACGACTTCTCTTCCATGACGGCATGTACAGCCCACCTGCCAAACTTTGTTGAAATTTCTCTGGTACCTGCAAATAGATTGTAATACCGTTGGTTGGTAATGTTAAATCTAGAAGTTCAGAGATGAACTGTTTTTTCTCTATTATTCTAGTACTTCAGTCTTTTAAACTCAGTGCTCATTATCAAGACAAGAACTAGAAATGTTTTGGTGATTATGTCTCCCTTTCCAACAAAAATATATATCATTTGACCTTTGAGCTCAAAGTCAAGGTTTATAGTGAACTTTTCTAAAGCACTGCACATCGTCAGATGAGGCAACTACACAAAGTTTGATGTGAAGATATTCTTTACAGTTTAGGAATCCTTTGGCAAAAACACAATATTCTTTATCTTCGAGGTCAAGGTCACAGTGACATTTTCGTCTTGTGGTGTAACTGCACATCAAGTTTTATGAAAGATTTCTTTTTACTTTTTGTGAGATATACCCTGGACAAATTATTTGAAGAACCAACGTACCTCTATTTTGGTAAAAATGTACCTGACCGACCAGCTAGCTTCCACCGAGGTCGGCCTCATGTACAGCTGAAATTGAGGATGATGATGGATTGATTAAGGATGATGATAATGATGATGATGATGATGATGATGATGATGATGATGATTGAGGAGGATGATGATGATGGATTGATTGAGGATGATGATGGATTGATTGAGGATGATGATGATGATGATGATGATGATGATGATGATGATGGTGGTGGTGGTGGTGGTGGATTGATTGAGGATAATGGATTTATTGATTGATGATGATGATGATGATGATGTTAGATTGATTGAGGATGATGATGTGTGAATGTTGGTATGTGTGTCATGTCTTGTTATTCTTATGCATCATTCAAAAATTTTGAAACAAATAAAAAGGATGATTCATAATTGTTCCTAAAATTCAACATATTGCATGAGGATGTCAGCCAGCCTACTAACAATAATGAGTGTAAGCTGTTTCCAGTCCTTGCCACGTGGAGGCCTCCTCATTAAAGGACCACTACTTTAAGCTAGCAAAAAAAAGCAATATTAAAAAAATGAAAGTTTTATTCATCTAATCTATTCTAAAATAAATGATATTCTATTTTAATCTAAATATGAATTTAACAAATATTTCAGAACTTTTTTTTTTTTTTTTTTTTTGCATTTGTAAATTGGGTTCCTAATTTTTCTTTTACAGAAACCCGATTACAGTGCAGCATATGCCTTACTTGATGCGAGTGGAGTTTTTATCACATTTGCTGCCAAAATAATTCTGTAATTATCTATAGCATTGTAAGTATTATAAAGTTTTAAAGAGATAAAACATTTGCCATTATTTGACCTTTGACATTGTGGCATTGAGCAAGTTGAATTCAATCTATTTCACATCTTATGCAATGACGAATACAAAAGATATCGGGTACTATTTTTGATTTATTAATTTCGAAATTTTTACTACATGGCATGCTTTTTTAGTAGCAAACATGCATATCATTTCAGTTTCATGCAAACCCAAACAAATACAGAAGATCTTTTTATTAGGAGAGGCAAAATTATAGGCAAACTGCCATTACTTAATTTTAGTAAAAATGATTACATGCTTTACAATTTCTCACAGAAATGATATAACCGATTGTTTTATTACAAAGATTGCAGCCCAAAACAATTTATCTTTAAGAAAGGGAGAAACAAAATTCTAAAAAATGATTTGGAGTGTCACAGAATTCCTAACCTACCACTACAACTATCATATACCTAACTAGCCTATTCTATTTAACGTGCCAAGTGTGACTCGCCGACACGGGATTTGAGATTTCTGTCCTTCCACCGGACATTTTATTTCACCTACAATAATTACAATCACATTAATTCAAACATTTCTGCAACATGTGTTACATCAAATTACACCACAGGTGTTAATGTCAGTAGTCTATACAAGGGGTATGTCATCGTCATATTCACAATCTTTTCTTCAGTTGAGATCCTCA